TAAAAATGAACCTTGCCAGGCTCCACATATCACTCAGAGGCCTCTTTCCAAGCTAGAAGCTTTCAACATAAAGGAATCACTGGCACGAACACCATCATTAAATCTTTTCCCTCTTATCCAGCCATTTATCATCAGGTTGTATCAGGATGGCTTGAAGAAATGGTTCTGGGACTCTTGTTTCAGACCCTCCATTTCAAATATAGTCTCTAACTCTTATAAGTAGTTGTCAGCTTATTAAGTCTCCATCTTGGCCTGAAACACTTAAGAATAAAAAATGCAGAGTAAGGTCCAAATGAGCATGGCCTAAGACAGAATTTATATTAATGTTGCTCCAAACATGAAATATTGCACATGTCTTGGTTGAGATAGCAAGGGATGAAAATCAGTAGTCTCCAGGGGAGGCAGGGAGAATGGCTGAATCTGTACTAAATCTTAAGGACTTTGCAAGCAGAGAAAACAAAGCTCGACGTCAGTTAACAAGCAAATGTGCTACTTCAAAAAATATAAAACAAGAAATGTAGACATGGACAGAGCCCAGGAAATGAACCCAACTCTTTTTGTAAAACCCTTCCAACTAGGGTTGATTTATTTCAACTTCACTGGAAACTGAACAAATTAGCAACAGCTTGCGTTTTATGAAATGCTACAAAGAGGTAGTGCTATCATTCCGAGTGTTACTCTGAATATGTAGAACCAGAGAAATTACTACCACAGATCATAGTGCACTTAATTTTCCCCAAGATACAAATGCCCTCGATAAATCTATTAAGGATAGCTTTTGATAGAGCCTGGATTCATCCTTACGCTCCCAGTTGTCCATATTCCTATACAAGACTGCTTTTAAACTAAAAGCCCTATGTAAATTTCAAAAAGTAGTTAACACTTTTTAAATATTTAAATACAAGGAAAATCTTCCAGTGGACTGATCAAAATGGCAATAAAATTCTTGTTAAAACTTCTGAAAGTAAAAAAGGAAGACTGTCCACTATTATCTAATAAATCTGACAATTATAATTTTTACCCAACAACAATGAGAGGGCAGAAAAAATACATTTCAAAATGAATTACTGAGAACAGGAATAATTCAAAATGACCACCCAGCAGAACCATCCAGGAAAAATATTACAGCAAGGTTACTCTTTGCCCACCCCTTTTCTAAATTCTAACTGTTCAGTTAGGCTCAAAATGTAAAGTCAAATCTTTCACAGATTTATGATCCCAGGAAATTGGCCATCACTTAGTTACTAAAGAAGTCAACAGTGATCACCTTCTTGGAAGACAAAGGATATTTGAGTTTCCCGGTCTCTTAAGCCCAGAGCCTGGGCTCACAATCACCTGACTTTTTATGAGATACAACCAAAATTTGCATGCAAAGGGGAAAGATGAGCTTCCTTTTGAGACTTAAAGAGAATGAGCCAATAGTTTCTTTCTGGCAAACCAATGTTGTCAGTCTTTAAAGGCTTTCTGTGACACCAACTATGGTGTAATCCCAGCACTCAGAAGGCTGAGGCAGGAGGAGTGCTGTGAGTTTGAGACCAGCCTAGACTACATAGTGAGTTCATGGACTACATAAGTAGACTCTGTCTCAAAGTAGGGGGAAAAAACTTGCAGTCACAGAGCCCTAGGCATTTCTCAGGCATCTTGGTCCCCTACTATCATAGAACTGAATATGGACATCTAATTTGCCAAGCTGCAATACTAGGAATCACATGTCAATTAGCAAGTATAGAGTTGATAAACATTTGTGGAGTTAAGGAAACTATATCAGAGTGTGGAAGACTAAATGAGATCTAAAATAAATACGTTTCTGCAGTTTAAGGGCAATGTTGAAATATAGACATATAGAAAGAAGGGGCTAAATTTTGAAGTTATTTTAAAATAGGGTCCATCTAACCCTAACTTTGTTAATAAAGTTAAATCAAAATTACATGATACAAAAGAAAGAAGGGAAACTGGTCTATAAAACTGCAAAGATAAAAAAAACTTTTTAAATAGTGAGTTTGACTGATTTTTCAAGCATGTTAATTCTTTTGTTGTTGTTATAGGGAATGGAACTCATGACCTCGCACTTGCCAGGCAAGTGTTTATGCTACTGAGCTAAATCCCCAGCTTAAGCATGTTAATTCTTAAATATTATTTATACATCTATTTACAGCATGACTATCTATTGACAAACACATTGTATATACCAAAAGTGGTATCAAATGATACTTTGAACTATCACTATACATATTGAGCATCCCTAATTCAAAAATACAAAATGCTCCAAAATTCAAAACCTTTTCAGCACCAATATAATACAGGTAAAAAATTCTATAGCTAACCTCATGTGACAGATCAAAGCCAAATGCAGATACTCTAAAAATACCATATAAAATTACCTTTCAGCTATGAACATAAGGCATGTGTGAAACATAAATTTCATATTTAGACTTAGGTTACCTTACTAAAGAGACCGTATAATGACTAAGCATGTATTCTAAACTCTGAAGAAATTCACAACATTCTGGTCCCAAGCATTTCAGATAAGGTATATGCAATCTGTCTCTGAAGAATGCATTGTAATCAAAATATAATTGAAGGTCACTGATCCTTTATTGGTTTGCATTTGAAATATGTCAATGAAAGCTAATAAATAAAGTATTGTGAGTGAACTAACCTCCCTGAGAATTAGTATAAACAGTTTTATGCAAAACATAAATAAGGATCATTATAAAAGAATTCACAAAGGATTTCTCCAGATTGCCATTTCTCTTAAATAACTTGAACTACTATTAAAACTACACAATACTATTTTGACATACACACTTCTTAAGGAAAACAGTGGAAAAAACCCACATGTGTGTACTTAATATCTGTCCAGCCCCCACAGAGTTCTTGACATGTACAGGCCCTATTCTCAAGGTCATTCTTATCTTCACCAGTTTAAATTAAATCTCATCCTCCACTGCAAACTCAGAAAGAGACTTGGTTAATTTGCTAGATAGAGGCTCATCCTTTGCCACTTCTGAAGCTTATGTTCCATACCCAGCAAATCAGTTTAGGTGCCTTACAGACATTAACATGCTAGTATGTTGTGCGCCCCCTATGGTCCACATTAAAAATAACAATGAATTCCCCAGGGATTGCTTTGAAGTTCTGAGTTTAAAGGTTGATGGTTTTTATGTTAAAAACATAAGCCGAATCAACAATTGTTAAGCAAATCTGTCATGTAATGGTCAGATTCCATCACAACAGGAAAAATAAAGGTTGACAAATAACAAAGATAAACTTAAGAGCAAAAAAAAAAAATAGCTTTAAGTCTTGAAACACTAAACAGTGAATAATTAAAGCCAAAAACAAAGAACACCAAGAAACAGAGCAACATCCTTTAACTGACACAATGGCATGAAATCAATTCCATTTTAATATCCCTTAACGGGGTAAGAATTATTTCCCTGTCTCTAGTGCCAACCTCAAGCTGTTTCCTAAGGAAGCCAAGTAATGGTGATCAACAATGTCTGGAGAATTAATACAAGAAATTAAGACTAAAGATTTATATTACTATAAGTCAGAGAGCTATTATAATAATTTGTAATAATTTATAATAATATAAAGTTTCAGAGAAGCTGCAAAGTGGCACCCCATAAGTATATAAAGTATATATAAAATCATCTAAATTAATCACATATTTAATGTACTTCAAAAGTTGTGTTCAACTCAAACAAGAAGCTGGGCAATGGTAGAAGACCATGGATTCACCGCACACAAATCTGACTGCACTTGCTGCTCGGACCCATTTGAGCAAACTAGCTCAGGACTTAGAACTCACAGGTGTGAGTACCGCGGGCCAGTAACTTAACGTGTGCTGCCATCCGTAAAATGGGGCTGATGGGGTTTTTAACCATAGGTTTAAGGTGATGCTTAAGTCTAATTGTGCCAGTAAAGACAGCAATGTCTGCATAGAGGCTCAAGAAACATCAATCAATTTACCCAAAAGAAAGCCAAACTGACACTGAACCGTTTGCTGTCCGAGTTACCATTATAGGAAGATTAAAAGTCTTGCTCTAATGTACTACTTGTGGAGACCTATCTCCTCCCAAACCGCTCACTTCTTCCAAGGGAAGAGGTACTCAGCAAACACTACTACTCCCCTGTCTCCGAGGGGCTGGGACAAGCAGTGCCAACACCTGGCAGTGCTTACCCGGCGCCAGGCACTGTTCTAGCACCTTACATATACAAGTTATTCAATCTTCACAGCAACTTCGTGGGCCGGTACAGCTAAGGAAATGGGGCGATCTCCTCTTCTCCCAGCTTTTTGGGTAGACAAGAATATCCATTAGATTCTACTGGACCAAGCTAGTTCGTGCTTGACACGCCGTCTGCCTACACTATGTCACTCTAAAAAGTGGGGTAAATACTCTAATGAGTCTCTTAGCAGATTGTTCTAGCGACTACCCAGATTTCCAGGTGACCCACGAAGAGTGTCTTGCACACACACCGGGGCGCACAGCTCAGTTAGCCCAGGCGGCAGCACCCGAGGGCGCGCCCGCAAGCAGCTCAGGTCATGTTGGGGCGCAGCCTTAAGCGGCAGTCTCTGTCACCGCAATTCTTTGCAAACCCACAACAAACCTTTCCCAGGGACGCTGTCACGCGCCCGGAGGGAAGTGGCCAGCACGTCCCACAAGGGTCAGAAGAAACCACGGAGAGGAAGAGTGAGGGCGGGTGAGGACTCCTCCTCCCCGGCACTGCGCATCGCCGCGAGCGCTGCCCACCCGCGCGGCCGCTGCCCACGCACTGCTGGCCACAGGTGCCCGCTCTTCCGAACGTAAACACCGCCCGACCCCCGCCGCCCTGCAGAGGCCGCAGCTCCCGCAGCTGGAGCGACCGCAGCGCAAAGCGGGCGCAGACCTTGCTCGCCGCGCGGACCCGCACCACGCAGCTTGCAGAGCCCGCGATCCGGCGGGTGCACAGCAAGGCACAGGCTGCAGCGCTGGAAGCCCGGGCCTGCACGCACGTACCTCGGGGCGGTGTGTCACGAGCAGATCCACCCGCTGCAAGTTGGAGGAGAGCAAAGTTTCCCCGCCCAGCGCTCGCCTCCGGCAGCTGCTGCGCCTCGGCGCAACTACGCCATCGGGCTGGCCCGGGACTTTCACCTCCTGCAGGGAGCTCCGGGAACTGCGCAGGGAAAGTGGCCGGGCGAGAGCCACAGACCTCCCTCCTTCACTCCTTGGGAAGAGGAAAGTGTCTCTCCGCGTCCCCGAAACCCTCGATTCCCCCCATCGGGCCGATCCAGCGCGCTCTTGCTCCTCTTACACGCGCGGGCGGGGCCGGGCAGGGCGCCACAGCAATCAGCGCGCTGGGGGAAGGGCGCTCTCTGCCGCGCCCCCACCGGGGGCTCTGGGCCGCCCAGAAACTCCTCCTCCTGCCTCCCGCCTCTTTTCCCTCCCCTTTGCCTCCCCGCTGGTGGATGAGCCCCGAGAGCTGCTCCAGCCTGTGTTGCCCTTTGTCAGAAAAGATGGGACAGGAAAGCAGGAACTTGGGGCGCCCAAGTTGGGGTGGCAAGTGGGGCCCTCGGTCGTTGGAGAAGGGAGGGGGACACGCGGTGTGAATTCCAGGGAATGCTCCCTCCAGCTGGGTACTTCAGACTTCCCAGGACTCTCTAGAGGAGACGGTTACAATTTGGCTCCTCGATCTGGATATAAAAATTCTAAAATTTCAGATAAACTGATCGTTCTCTCTTACCCACACCCCTACACAGCCCCCGACTCTAAACATTCATTCTGCCCGGTTGGCTTTCCCAACCTTCCAATCTTGCTTTTTAACTCAAGATTTGCCCTGGTGGTATGCACTAGTGGAGTTACAGCTTCCTCTCATTAATAACTAGCCAATGTATTACCCTGAGCAGTTTCTCCTGCTAGCTCGATGAATTAATACAAATAATGGAGCTAGGTTAGTATTACTCGCATGACCCTAGGTCAGAATGAAGCAAATGACAGGTGCACAGCCCAAGATCCTGAGTGCATGTGCCTGTGAACTGCACCCTGCAGGAGCTGAATGCAGTCCTGTTTACACCTCGTTTTTCTATTAAATGTATCCGTAAATCACAGGACTCTCTCTTACAGACAGGTGAATAATGGTCAACAGGCTGGGATTTCAGAGACCAGACCTCCAAACCTGACTGTGTCACTAGAGCAACTCCAGAACCTTGCACAAATGGCTTAAACTCTTCAAACATCTTTTTCCGCTCTGTAAAATGAACAGTTTGGCCTAAGAAACTTTTCCCCGAAGTAACTTGAGGTTCTTGGAAAGTTAAAGGAAGGGGCTTCTTACCTTAAGACTTACATTATTATTTGGGAAGTTTCAGAGTTACCTATTTTGAGAGAAGGGAAAATATTTCTTACCTCTTTCTTTTGTATGGGTGTGATCAAAATATAAAGTGAACATTTAGTTTTTAAAAAAAATTTATTACAGTAAAAGACACTGCCACATTACCATTAATGCTCCTCAAAACTCATTTTATGTTTGGTGGGGAGTGCTTTTGTTTTTGACACAGGGTCTTGCTATGGAGTTCAGGCTGGCCTTGAACCCGCTATGTAGCCCAGGTTGACCTGGAACTCACAGTGATCCTCCTGTCTCAGCCTCTCAAATGCCAGAATTACAGGAGTGCACCATCATGCCCCACCAAAGCTCACTTTAAACACGCTTATCCCATGGTGCTTGTCACTTTGTGAAGCAATTCTAGAAGTCCTCTTTGATGTCTTTACCGGAGATGATCAAAAAATACAGTAAGCACTGCAGCTGAGTGTCATCCTAGGGAAAGGCAAGCTCCTAAAAACATTCTGATGTGTCCTCACCCATTTTATTCAGTGGCTCTGGCACTCTACAACTTCTGGCTCTCCCCCAAAGTCAAGATAGTCATGAAAGGTAAATGTTTTGAATTGACTCAGGACATCAAAGCAGCCATGACAGCACAACCAAAGAAAAGAAAGAAGACTCCAGAACTGCTTCAGAAACACTGATGGAATTAGTGAGTTGAAGTGAGGGACTAAAAGTAATGTGTCTTTTACCTTGACAAGTTTCCTAATTTAAAAATACACCCTACTTTTCTATTGCTACCTTATATGTGCTTTTTATTATTATATTACTGTATTTTTGTTAGGAGTTGGTTGAGTTTTGTCTGTTTCATGAGAGATATTGGTTTGTAACCTTTCTCATAATACGTTTGTCTTGTTTTGAAATTAAAGTAATATTGACCTCAAAAAATTAGAAAGTGTATTGTCGGGCTGGGGATTCAGCTCAGTGGCATAAGTGCCTGCTTGGCAAATGCGAGGTCATGAGTTCAATCCCTAGTACCAAAAAAAAAAAAAAAAAAAAAAAAAAAGAAAGTATATTGTCCAGTTCCGCTTTCTGAAAGTTCTACATAGGTGAAGGATTAATAGTATCTTCTTTAAATATTTGACAGAATTTATGAGTGATTTGCTCTAGGCCTGGAATTTTTTTTTTTTTAGAACAACTTCTAATTATGAATTTAATTACTTTCATTGAAATATGGCTTTTCATTTTTATCTTTTTTATTAATGTCTTCCAAGCAATTTTGTGTCCTCCAAGCAGTTTTTCCATCTCTTTTTTCCTCCAATCTGTCATTTTTATTTTTTCTAATTTTTTATTAATATATATTTGCCATACATAATGCCCACATTCATCATAGGGAATTTCTGCTATACATAATATATCTTAATTGCTCTTCTTTTTCCCATTCCCCTCCCCTCTCTTCAACCCTTCTTCCTCTTCCCATTTACAGACACTTTGTAGGAATTTTTTCATATCATCCAAATATTTTTCTGTAATACCTCAAACCTTACAATAGCTTGGGAATTCACTTCATGAAGATCGTATTGTCCTTAATCAACTGACAGTGCTACAAAAACCACTCAGACCTTACCAGAATTTACTGAACACTATGTGATAGATTTGAGCTACACAGGTGTCTTAGTTACTTTTTACTCATTGCTGAGACAAAATACCTCAAACCCAAATTCGGAAAGGAAAGGTTTATTTCTTACAGTTTTTGGAGGTTTCAATCCACACTCATTTGGCTCCAAAGCCGTCGGGCATGGCTGGGCCACAGTTCATGGCCACTGAAACAACAAGCAGGAACCAGCAAAGAGCAAGACACACCTTCTTCCTGCCATTACATCACATCCTGGCTCCACCCCTTTGTAGGTGGTACACTGACACCACCAATCCAAGCACTAGACAATGAACGAATAACAAATGCACAAGTCAAACTCCTGAGGCCTGGGGGCCACAGACATAAACCATGATATTCCATCCCTGGCCCCCAGGACTCATGTACATCCTTTATATAGAAGACATTTAGTCCACCTCTAAGAGTTGCCAAAGTCCTAACAGCTTCAGCATTGCTGAAGTCCAAGTCCCAAGTCTCCTTCAAGATCTATGGCAAACTCTTAACTGTAACCCCCTGTACAAATGAAACAAGGTTAAACATTTCTGAAATGCAAAGGCACAAGATAAATATTACCATTCCAAAAGTTACAAATAGGGGAATATAAAACATTGGAAACAAAGCAAGTCCATCATCCAGCAGGACAAACATTAAATTAAATTTCATATGCCCAGCATCTAAAGCAATCTGGTTGCACACTCCAAAAGGCTTGGGTGATTCCACCCCCACAGCACTTCCAGCGATTTTAACTCCCACAGCTTTTCTCTTAAATCCTCTCTGCTTGATTTTTGCAGCTTTCCTTGGATGATCCATGTTCCTGGCTTTTCCAAACTTTTGGGGTCTGCACTGCACCTTTGGTTTTACCCTTACATCTTTACAAATTGCCCTCTGCTTGGCCTCTGGGGGGCACACTGCTTGGCCTCTCAGGCCCTTTGCAATCGAGGTGAAAGTCGTCTTACCCTCAGAATTTGTGCATTTTCCTTGTACCTAAAATCAGCACTTTGTGGATGCCACCAAGGTCTGCTGCCAGCTGAAGCAGTAGCCAGGCTTTTCTCTCTCTTGGCTGTAGGGGTCAGTTGCCTGGATTGCCGGGCTCTGTTTACCTGAGTGTAAGGAAAAGCTTTTCTGTGTTGCTGCTATTCTGGAACCTCATGTGGCCTCTGTCGCAATTCTAGAACCTGGTGCTTTGCAGCTTTCTCCTCTGAGCAAATTCTTTTACCTTTGCAGTGAGGTTGCAAAGGGTGGGGACCCGCTTCCTGGGATGCCCCAGGACCATCTTTCTTATCTCTCTGTTTCTCACCAGGAGTCAACTCTGTTTTTACAATCCACAGCCTTCCTGGAATTTTCCTTCTGGCCAAACTCACAGTATTGCAAATTATCCTGCTAGGCTCTTTGCTCTTGATTTGCAACATAAAGTTGACTGAAAGCCCCCAACAATAGCTATGCTACCGCCTCAATGTTCAATTGCTTTTTAATTTCTTTTTCAAGATTAATCAGTCCATTGCTCTTTGTCTCAGTCTCAGGCAAAGTCTCTGGGCAGGACCAAAATGCAGACAAACTTTCTGCCAAGCCATAACACAAATCATGGGGAGTCCAACAACCAATGCAATCCTTCTTCCCAGCAGAAACCTCCCAAGCCTGGTCTTTACCATGAGGCTTTCTATCAGCCTTCTGGTCTCCTAAACTCTGACCAGAATCTCCTCTACAGAACAGCCTAAGCTGCTCTAGCTCTATGCATACAGGCAACGTGTCCGAACCTTTCCAAATTCTGCCCACAAGCCGTTTCCAAAGCCTCTCGAGAAACATGGTTAGGTATAGTCACAGCAAACGACCCCACTCTCGGTACCAAATTCTGTCTTAGTTACTTTTTACTTGTTGCTGAGACAAAATACCTCAAGCCCAAGTTCAGAAAGGAAAGGTTTATTTCTTACAGTTTTTGGAGGTTTCAATCCACACTCTGTTGGCTCCAAGGCAGGTGGGCATGGCTGGGTCACAGTGAACAACAAGCAGGAACCAGCAAAGAGCAAGGCTCACCTTCTTCCTGCCATTATATCACATCCTGGCTCCACCCTTTTGTGGGTGGAACACTGACACCACCAATCCAAGCACTAAGACAATGAATGAGTAACAAATGCACAAGTCAAACTCCTGAGGCCTAGGGGCCACAGACAGAAACCATGACAACAGGTATTATAGGCACATTATGCCTTTAATTAGGCATAATACCCCAAAGGAACAA